CACTCTTATATTCACATATATACATACTTGGTTGCATAATTATATATTCTAACACATACTATACAATTCCATCCCATTCTCTGAGTGAGAGGGACCAGACATGAGGAGTATTTGCATATTCAGATGACTACAGTTTGTCAGTTCATTCAATTGTTGGTAATTTAGACCAGTGGTTCTTAACCTTTGTGGGACCAGACATGAGGAGTATTTGCATATTCAGATGACTACAGTTTGTCAGTTCATTCAACTGTTGGTAATTTTTAGACTATGGTTTGTCCAAATAAGCAGTCTTTAAATGGTGGCTTTGATCTTGATTTGTTTGGAAAACCTAGTTAAAACTAACCATAGTTCTCAGTGCAGCTGACATTATAACCATAGCCCATTTAAAACAGAACAAAGTGTTTCCAATCTGCTCCCTGAAACTGATTTGAAGGAGAGGGGCTGAACCTATCCTTGGCTTAGCATTTGTATATCAAATAGGTCAATGACTTTGCTCTCTGCCCTTGCAACACAGGGGAACTTTTGGACATTTGGAATCCTCAACATGATGAGCAATATGTGAAAAGAACCACTAAATAAAATTCCTTTTTTTTGATCTGTAGACAGAATGACAATCTGCTTTTATAGTTCAGACATCATAATTTCCCCAACATCTTCCTATTCTGTAGAGTTTGTGTCAGAGCACTTTAAACTGTCTCATATCTGATTATAAAACCTAGATGAACTGGTATAGCTAAGTGCGTTGGGAGTGCTTGCCTGTGTACCCAGGGGCCTGAAGTCCAAATCCCCCCTTGGGAGCGGAACCAGTTGCGATCACTTGGAACATGTGTGGCTGATAGGGCTACGTGCCCTGCCACCTGTATGGCCTTGGGCAACCTGTGTGATCCCAGAGCAGCTATTGAAGGACAAACTGGCAAACTACTTCTAGTCTACAATAATCCTGCAGTATTTTTATACATTAAAAATTGGGTGATGATACACCATTAGAATATTATTATTATTGTTTTCAATGTAGCTTACTTTTGTCTCTTCTCATACTCTTACTGTATTTACACTTAAAAAAATGTATAAATGTCTGCCTATAGAAGCTTGTCCTTATACATCTAGTAAATTGAGCTGCAGTCCATATAAACATATGCCAAATAGAATTTACTAATCTTTAACATGCCACCAATTTTTTTTTTATTGGGGTGACCTCCTCGAACAAGACCTCAGGTGTCTTAGCCTCAGATATTTAAGTGTCTTGGACAGTGGGCTGTAACTTATCTTTCTGGAAGATATTGCCGAAGCAGCAGTCCAGGCTTCAGAAGCAGGATGGGAAATGTGGCTACACTGAAAATCCCTGATGCAACCCAGCTGTATCCAGAAGGTTACACATTCTTTTGTAGATTACAGTGAAAATTTTGACTGTGTGGATGTGAGGCCAAAGGTACCCAGTTGGAGGTTTCTGAGGGTGTGCCGTCCTCCACACTAGATGAAACTATCCTGTCACAGACTAAGACCTTGGAGAGGACTTTGAAAGAACTGAGTTTGGAAAATGAAGAACCAAAAAAGCTTGGGAAAAGAGCAACCAACAGAGGGAGACCCTTGAGCAGGAGAGGAAAATGTTATACAGTCGTGCCTCGCTAGACAGTTACCCCGCATGACAGTTTTTCGCTAGACATTGACTTTTTGCGATCGCTATAGTGATTCGCAAAACAGTTATTCCTATGGGGAATTTCACTGGACAATGTTTGGTCCCTCCTTCGCAAACCGATTTTTGCTAGACGACGATTTTGACAGCTCCCTCCGTGCTCGCAAAACAGGTGTTTTCGGGACCTGAGCTTCGCAAGACAGAGATTTAAACAGCTGATTGGCAGTTCGCAAAGCGGCTTTCCTATGGCCAATCTTCGCTAGACAACGACGATTCTTCTCCATTGGAACCTATTAAACAGGTTTCAATGCATTCCAATGGGGAAATGCTCTTCACTAGACAATGATTTCGCTAAACAGTGATTTAAGTAGAACAGATTATCATCATCTAGCGAGGCACCACTGTAAAGGGTAGGGAGAGATATAGAGGGAGGGAGCAGTTGGAAATGGTGGAAGAGTTGTTGGGCTTTGGAGGATGAAGAAAAGAAGACAAGAAGAAGGGTGGGTAGAAATTGTGCAACAGGACCCATAGACAGGAGAGTGGATGGAGTTCAAGGTGCCGAGAGAGTTTGCAGGAGTGAAGAAGGAAAATATATATACAGAATGCCACCTTTTTGGGGAGGAAACTGAAGAAAGAGAAAGTAGGAAGAGAAAGAGAGAGAGAGAGGAGAAAATGCGAGGCATCAAATAGGGAAAAGAGCACCATAGGAGGCCTCACGGGACGAGTCCCTTCAGAGCAAGATTACAGCCAGCACTGGGCATGAAAGTATCAGAACCCCAATAGGATTGGTCTCTTCCCCCCACCCCCCGCAATAAAGATGACAAGTGAAAACAAGAAGTCAGGCAACATTTCCAAATGGAGATATAAAGACTTGAATTTGACATCTCTGCTTGTTGGGAGGGACTTGTTAATGAACCACCTCTGAAGCAAGAGGCTACGTTAAGTGTTGGTGTTAATTCCACTGACCTGTTAAAGAATAAAGATTTCTCATTGTTAAGAGATGGAGGCATGGCATCGCATTGTCTGCGGAGGGAAAGGTAGAGGAAGATGAGGTGGGGTCTGCACCCGATCACAGTGGATCATGAAAAGCTATGGCTTGTTTTAAAAGAAACAGATACAGTGGACCCTCGACTTACAGATGGCTCGACTTACAGACTTTTCGAGTTACAGACTTCTCTGGCTGCAAAATTTAGATTCTGGACTTACAGACCAGAAAAAAAACAAAATGGAATAAAAATAGAATAAAAACCACTGGTTATGGGATT